CCGGTGGCCATCATCGTTCACTGCAGCGACGGCTGGACCGCACGCCGCAGCTGGTCGCGCTGGCCCAGCTGCTCCTCGACCCGCATTACCGCACGATTCACGGCTACGAGATCTTGATCGAGAAGGAGTTCCTCAGCTTCGGCCACAGGTTCCAGGATCGCTGTGGCCACCACGGCAAGAAAGAGAAGGACCAACGGTGCGTTCACCCACCCAACGCACGACACACACACCTCGAGTGTATAAAGAACCCTGCACTAACAACACCCCCCAACGTGTTCTTGGCAGATCGCCGATCTTTCATCAGTTTTTGGAATGCACGTGGCAGCTGCTCCAGCAGTTCCCTTCGGCATTCGAGTTCAACGAACTCTTCCTGGAGACCGTGCTGGAGCACGTCTACTCCTGCCGCTTCGGCACTTTCTTCATGGTTCGCGTTCCTTCCCATTACACTGACAAATATGCGACACCCGCGCTAAATTGGTCAATGTGTCGATGCATGCTACAGAACTCGGCCAAGGAGCGGGCAGACAGCCAGCTGGCCGAGAGGACTTGCTCCCTGTGGACGACCATCAACGGGTTCGGCAGCGACGGCGAAGACGTGGGTGTTTTTAGCCCTGAGGACGTGGAGACACCGGCGGGCGCGGCGGCCGACGCTGCGTCGCTCGTGCGGGTCAGCTCCACCGAGAAACCCGCAGCGCCGTCGACGCCCAAAGCCAGCCAGAGCCAGAGCAGTGACGACGATGAGAGGGAGGAGGTCGTCGCGAAGGGCGAGGAGAGCGTGGACTGGGATGCCGTGATGCGACGCAGACGCAAGTACGTCAACCCGCGCTACATCCACGGGCGGCACCACCACCTGATGCCGGTGGTCAACCTCTGCCAGCGCGACCCGTCGCTCAGCGCAGCCGCCACCACGTCGCCGCCACCACCGGCCAATGCGGCGCGCAAGCTCTCGGGCACGGCAGCGGCGGAGCTCAGGCGACGCAACAGCGCGCCCGACCCGCAGGACGGCGCCATGGCCGCCGGGACCGAGCACGAAGGTCGTGCAGGTCCCCGGCGCAAGTCGTCGGCCTCGAAGCCCTCCCCGCGCTCGCCCAGGAGTCCGCTGGGCTTTGCCAGCACCGTGTCGGGCGACATCCACGCCGGAGGCCCGCTCAGCGACAATGGCAGCGACGACGACGAACTCCTCAGCGACCCCGATCTCGACGACGAGTTCGAGGTGGTCGACCATGCCGCCTCCGAAGAGGAGCAGGCGGCCACCGCAGCAGCTGCGGCCGCAGCGGCGAGGGACAAGGGCGCTAAGGGCGGCGGCGGGCTGGCGGGCCTGGGGCGCGAAGACGTGGAGGACATGCTCGAGTACCTGGGGAACAAGTGGCGCCGCGCCGGCATCGGACTCTACCACGCCGCGATCGACCGCACCCGCGGGCCGGGGCCGGAGGTGGGCTCGATCCGATTCTGGGCCGCCCTCTACCTGCGGTGGCGCCGCGGCGACGTGCTCTTCCCCACCACGCTGCCGGCCGGCTTCCTCTCGCCGGCGTCGATGCCAGCGTCGCCGGCCCTCCCCGACGCCCCGGCGACGATGGTGGTGGCAGCGGCCGCGGCGGCGCCGACCACAGCCGTCACGACGACCATCGCCCAGAGCCGCTCGCCGCCAGCGTCGCCCAAGCGACTGCGCCGATCGGCGTCGAGCGCGCCCGCCCTGTCGGCCGGCCGGTACTCGGCGCCCGTGGCTGCGTCCCCGCACGAAGTGCCCGACTCGCTGGCCTCCACCCTGTCCGGCGGACCGACCGTTCACGCCCGCAAGACCAACTCGGTGCGTTTGTCGCGTGCGTGAGTGTGCAATGCGGTGCGCGTGAGTCGTGCTCAGTTTTTTACTGTGTAACGTCGACCTGCAGGGCGAGCTGTCGCTGCACACGCGCGTGCAACTGGGAGAGCTCAAGCGGGCGGCGACCAAGACGAAGGCCGACGCTGCGCTCTTCTCCCTTTCACGATCATCCCGCGCCGATTGATGATCATCGCCTGTAACGTAACCACTACTTGGACGTCCGTACACCCCACCCCACACGTTCTAAAGGCCAATTTTGAGTCAACACACGACATACGCGTGCTGCACGCATCACAATAATCAACAAGTGTATTTAGAGGCGAGGCCTCCACCTGCTCAGCTGGCAGCTGGTTGGAGGTGGTGGTGGTGGCACAACAAAGCCATGGCAGGCAGGCGGGTGATGATGTGGTGA